AGCTGGGCTGATGGCTTGTGACTGGGCCAGGAGGATGTGTGCCTTGCCTTGGCTGCTTTGGGTGGTGTGTGGCAGGCCAGACCTGATGGTGAGCTGGTCTCTGTGTTATCAAGGTACATTATGTTATGGTCAGGTTTGTCACTGGAAACCACAGTCTAGTGGGAATGTGAAAATCCCACCATGGTGCCCCCCAGTGCATGCTGGTGAGAGCCTGAGCTGGCACTGGGATGGGGGAGGAGTGTGTTGGAGTACTTCTCATCAGAGCAATTCACAAGCAGATATCTCGGTGTGGACAGCTTCAGATAAACCTCAGGCATGGTTTGCAGAGGCAATGGCAGGCAATAATCCTGTCACTGCAGTGGGAGGGAAGTCAACCCAATTCTGCTCTGCAAGGCCTTTGCCAGGAGACAGGTCTCACTAGCAGGCGCTTTTGAAGCAAAGGAGCTGATATGCTTAGAAGATTCCCAGGGACAGTGCAGAGCCTGTTCTCCCTGGGCTCTGAAATCACTTCCAGGCCAGTAGCCAAGCACAAGCTATAAATAACAAATGATGGCTGATGATCCCGTCTCATTTTCCTCTGAGTTGTTGTCAGCTCTGGGCTTTCCCTTGGCATCTTCTCTCCAGTGCTTTGCATTCCCATCTTCACCTCCCAGTGCTGTCATGGCATCTGGCTGTCTCCTGTCATGCCATTGGTGTCAACTTGGTGTGAAGGAGTTACTTCTGTGGTGGCCTCCACAGGGACGTAATGCAGGAAAAGCTGATGGATCCAGGCTCTGTGGTCAGGGTGATATTGGTGTCTTCTCTCCCTGGGGCTTCTCTAGTCATTGCTGGTTTGGGAAGGGCTAGAGATAAGGTCAGAGGAGAAATGTCTGGGATTTGCATCAGTCTCTGTCTCAGCACTTTGACATGAGCAACTTAGAAGGCAGATCTTGTGGACTTATTTGAGGTTCTTTCCACCCAACCACACACAACTGCACAGGAAAATTCACCTTGTGGGTATCCAAACTTTATCCTGTTACCAAACTTTCCTACCTCATCAAATATCCAAACTGGGGTTGCTGTCTATCACACTGTGGGTTTATTATTTTTTTTTTTTTGTATTTCTCACCATTTAGGAAATTCTAAAACCCTTCTATTGCCCTCTCAGATGATGCTATAGCAATTAGGCAACACAGCTGAGCCCAAGGTCCTTTTGAAACCCCAGCCTACACAAATATCACATAAGTTGCAGTATTTATCCAGGGTCAAAATAATACTGTGCAAACACTGAAATATTAGGAGGCACGCCTAGTGCATGCACATGTCCTTCTGTCCTGAGCTTGTGAGCTCAGCTAGCCTCTTCACATGAGGAACTCTTTGAGCCGCAGACATCTGGCTCGGTGCAGCAAAGGTAAATGTTCCAATGAAAACATCAGGCATGTGAGCAAGAGGTGCGGGCTGGAGCCGCATCTCAGCACCGTAACCCTTGTCCTTCCCTATTCCACCACCTCGTTGTGCTCATTCCTTGCCTTTTCATTGCACAATTGATTGTTTGGGCAAGGGACTCGGCTGGATCTTTTTTGTTTGCTCTGCAAAACATGCAGCACACTTTGTTTCCTGACTGTGTGCAGAAACAGCTGACCATCTCCTTACAGCGTGGCCCTCACCCACGTTAACCTGTTTGCTTCATTAGGAGCCGGTGCTGCTGGTTTGGCTGTGGCCCTCGCTGTCACCCTCCCTGACCCCCTGGCACCCATGTCGCAGCTGTTTGGGTCCAGCCCCAGAGCAGGGGGGGGTGTTTGCTGTGTCTCTGGGGCTCACGGCGTTCTTTCCACGGGCTTTGTTACTGCTGAATTAAATTTACAGCTCAGCCCCGTGCGGTGGCTGGGTGCCCGGGTTTCACTCGGCGTGTTTATTCATTTTACAAAGACCTGCGCTATGGCGTATGAAAGTGGGGAAAAGGGCTCCAGATCAGCTCTTTTTGTGCTTTGTTGGTGTTGTTTTGTGCCTGATCCTGCTGTTTTATCCACCGGGTTGCAGCACTTCACCTCACAGGTATGCCTGCTCTCCATCGTGCCGATGGTGGTCGGTGGGGTGCTGCTTCCTTCTGCTGAGGCGTGGGGTGCCCTGCTGTCCGTCCCGGCTCTCTGCAGGGCAGGCTGAGCCAGAACTCCCTAGTCATCAGAAACACTTGGAAAATAGTTGAATTTTCCTTTAATGAGATTTTTTTTTTTAACCCTCTTGTAGTGGTTTTTGCTGCATATTAACCTGACGAGCTAAATTGTAAACGAGTTCTGTAACAAGGGTTAAAAATGCCAAATGGTGAGTCAGAACAGGCATTTGAAGAGACATGGACTATCTCAGCTTGTCAAAATAAACATTTCATTTAAGCACAGAGTGTGCCACTCTGAAAGCTCATAATTTAAAACCAGACTGGTTTTGGTTTGCCTTTTCGTGATTGTAAAGCTGAGTGTGTGTGTGTGTACAGCCGAGGTGCAGAGCGGCATAACTTCACAGCTATATGACTGCAGTGCAACTTTTTTGGTATGGAAACTTTTTTTTTGAAAACACGTCAGGCTGTTCCTATTAATAAACTTCAGGAAAAGCTTGGGCTGCCCGTCGGCTGATCGTCCCCGTACGCTGCTACCCTGCTGCCGGGCCGCCAGCTAGTGCTTCGTGGGGTTGTCCTGGCTGGATCTGCTGACGCCTCCCTCATGGGGAGGACGGCTGGCTGGTTCTAGAGAGCTGTGCAGGGGGAGCAGACGTGCGTTGGGGCTTTGCTTTTGGGATGCAACGAAAAATGGTTGTTGTCAGCGGGCATTAGCACGAGTGCCGGGCTGCAGCCAGGAGCGTGGAGGGGCCGGGTAGGGGGAGCGTGGGAAGGCAGAGCTCAGTGCCGGCCGCGTTCCCGCAGCGCGAGCGGGAGCACAGCTCGTGTAAAAGCAAATTCCTGACGCTTTGCACGCCCGGAGCCCACCTGGCACCAGCCATGGCACGGAGAGAGGCTGGAGGAGCGGTGGCCATGGTGCATATTCTGGGGCTTGGGAGCCTGCAGGATGTGGCTTGGTGCAGAAGCCCCTGAAAACTCTCTCTTCCTCCCCCCTTCTGTCCCTACAACTTTAGCAAAAGATAATCTGAAGCAGCATGTTTCTTTAAATGCTCTCGTTTCTCTAAAACTAACTCAGAGCTCCAAGCTTTTTTTTTTTTTTTTAAATTTCCACCAGGAGCTTGTGGTGGGACCCTGGGAGAAATGCTCACAGCTCTGTCCCTGCACATCCCCATCTCTGAACACCCAAAGTTGGGATGCTTTTCTGATGAGGGCCCTGGGTATCACAGCTGAATATTAGAGCCCTAATAAACCCCAGCGTGTTTTTGTTCTGGGTGTTTCCCTGATATGCCTTGCTTGGGCACAAAGAACTGACCCTATGCAGGTGAGAAGGGGAGAAAAGAGGCAGAATTATTCCTAGTTTAAAAAAGAGAAGAAAATAGTGAATAATGAGAGGTAAGGACCAGGCTTCCACCTACACCTGACTGATTTAGGAACAGGGAGGTGAGTGGGATGTGGGCAGGTTTGTAAATCCCGCCTGAAGCAGCTTGCCTCCTTCCTCCTCTGTGCTCTTAGCTTGGCTGAGCTTGGAGAGGGGTAACCAAGGGCTGCTGTGCCCTCCAGGGACACCTGGTGAACATGGCTATGGAAGTGACAAGTATTTATTGGCCTCTACATCTTCATGTGTGAAATGGTCCATAAAGTGTCTAAGGAATAAGATTTAGCATCACTTTGTGGATCGGGCTTTCCACATCCCTAAACCAAACAGCCTTGCTCTTTAACAGGACCATGTTCTGCCTCTGCTGCCTTCTGCAGCAGCCACTTCTTGTCCTTGCCAGTTTTGAGGGCAACTGAGTGACCCCACCTTAGGACTGCTGTGTCCACCATGCATGGGGGACTCTCAGACTCTTAAGTATGGATATCTCAGGCAAAAGCCTGGCTGTAGGATGGTTGCTTCATCGCTGTTCTTCCTTCCTTTCTTGCCTGCAGGCTGCTGTTCAGAGCTTGTTACAGACCAGTTTTAAACATGCTGGAGCATGGAAGTTTGTCCCTTTGACAGCAATGGACCTTCAGGGGAGGTCAGCAGGTCCTTTATCAGCAGGACTTTCCTACCATCTCATCCTAGCTGTGCTAAGCAAGACTGCATTTTGATACTTTGATTATCTAGTCATAGTTAACTGCATTAGGCAAAGTTAGTGAAAAGTACAATATTTGAGATGGAAAACTGCTTTTGTGCTATATAACTCTTAAAGGACTAATGACACCTAAGTGAAAGCAAGCCTTTTCATAAAACCAACTTCTATCTAAAAATACTAATACCGATGATCTCATTTTCCAAGAGCTATTTGAAAGCATCTTCCTTTTTGGCATGATTTTTTTCTGGATTTTCTGCTTTGAAGTTTCCCATGGATAGACATCTTCCCAAGTAGGCTCAGTCTAATCCCTCCAGCCATTTCTACCAACGTTGTGGCTTTGAGTTTGAGGTGCAAGAGTGATTAAGAGGTTTGGGGCAGAAAGCTGAGACTAGAAAGATCTTCAGTGTGGTCTTGTTCTGCTGTGTGCTGTCTTGGCCATTGGTCAGTGCTAAGAAATGGGAATTGCTGATTCCCCCACCCCCCTTTCCTTTTTTCTTTCCCACTGTGCTTTTTGGTGTAATATTGACCCTCTGCAGCTCCTTCTTGGTCCACCCTGTGCTCAAGTAGAGAGCTAGAAATGATGGACATAATCTGTATTTCTTGCATGGGTTATTTGAATCTTGATGCAGAGTAGCTCCCTGGTATGGTACTGCTGTCCTTTGGTGCTGCCTGGCCCTCCACGGCCATAGCAAGGCCATCACTGATCCTCTGTGGTCTTTGGCTCTGAAGAGCATCCTTGGTGTTACCAAAGTCATCCTCCTTTCTAACACTTCCCAAAGAGGGAAGAAGCCAGGAGATACCTGTCTGTGCTCTCATGGTGTCTGTTTCTTGGGTTCCAGAGTATGTGCTGCCCTCAGCCAACATGGGTCTGCCCAGCCACCTCATCCAGTGCCACTGCCCACAGCCTGCCTACACCACTCACACAGCCCCCGTGGTCAAGATGCTTATTGAGCAGGATGGGCGGAGAAAGGCTACGTCCAACCACCCAGCAGAGATGGAGCCAAACAGAGAGCCTCAAGAAGATGATTTTGAGGAGGAAACCCAAGGGCTGTCAAAGCTGAGCGGGGGTAGCAGCACCCCTGGGACTGGGAAGGACTCTGTAGGAATGTCTACAGCAGAGAGCAGTTTGCCATCACCAAATGTTTGCCATAGGGTTATTTTTGCAAGAAAACCTCCCCTGTGTGTGCTACCATGTGGCTCCCTGGCATGTTCCAGCAAGAAGAAATGATCTGTCTGCAGCTAGAAACAGAGACAAGAAAAAGAAGATGCGAAGATGCTCTCAAGCATTTTCCAGAGTGCATTAAACTGCATGTACAGATAGAATTTAACTTTTTGACTTTTCCTAAAAAGCCCTTCAGCTGAATGAAAGCAGACAAGCGGAAAAGGTCGTGGTATTGCATCTTGCACTTGTCTGTTCTCGGATCTGGAGAAAACCGTAACGTCTTCCTATTGAACTCACTTCACATGCATCAGTAGCTGTTTGCTGCTTTGCTTCTTGGAAATGCCCCACAAAGGGTGCAGTGCAGAGGCATGGCATGGAGATGCGGATGCCTGCACGCCCACGCAGCCCCGCATGCACACAGGGCCCGGTTCTCTCCTCTCCCGCCTCTTGTGACCCCGCTGGCATCAGTCCTGGGTGCCAGCAGCTGTCCTGGGATTTGGCTGAGGGTAACGGCCTCTGGGGACTCTCTGTGCATCCGCATCCACCTGAGACCTTGGGTGACTGGAGGAAAAGTGCACTGGGAATCTCTGTCCCCTCTCTTTGAAGCTGTGTGTTGCTGAAGGGACATGGACTGGAAGGGAGAGGAGTTTACAATGAGCATTTGCTTGTACTTTTATCCCTTTTCCCCTGCCCTGCCTGTCCATAGGGTGTGAGGTCTGTTCAAGTTGCACTTAGGAGGCTGTGTGTATGAGGTGTATGTATCTATGCATGTGACACTTTCATGCACACAAGTCAATAAAAAGAAAGGCAATGCAGCAGCAAAGCTCATCAGTCAGTGGTAGATAAGCTGCTACGCCTTTCCTACTTTTACAGATGAGCAGAGATGCTAAGGTCAAACTTGCTGGAGGACATGTGATTTTTTGCAAGTCTCTAGCCTTCTGTGATACTAGAGAGCATATACTTGGGGTGTCCAGCTGCTGGTGCATGCCAGCTCAGACCCTAGGTGTTGAGGAATATTGCCAGATTTTCTAAAAACCATTTGCAAAGGCATCAACCTCATTATTCTTTGGCTGACAGAGGTAGAATCCAGTTTTCTAGTATGATCTTTATGTCCACCTTCCAACCTGTGCAACAGAGCCTGCAGGCACCTCTGGCAGTACATCTTACCTCCACTACAAAAGGTCCATCCTGTGCGTTGAGCGAGGCGGGGTTCAAATTGGGCAAGATGCTCAGTGACTACTCAATTAAAGACTACGCCAGCCTGCGTACCTGAGAGGGGGCTTCTCCTGCAAGAGCACGGGCAAGGAGAGCACCTAAAAGGGAGCAGGAGGCTCTGGAGCAGTGGGACGGAAGGTGCCCAGTTTAGCCATGTGTGCCTGTATCCCTGGAGCGCTCTGCTGGGGATGTGACCTCACATTTCTCTGGAGTTTCTAACTTTGGCAAGTGAGGTTGGGAATTTTTGTTGTGAAGACAGCAAGAGGAACCCCTCCCTGTAGAGGTGATCCCTTCTAATTTCAGATTCCAGTTCTGCAGGGATGGAACTGGTGTCAGATCACTTCAACATTTAATGCATTTGAAACAAAGTGATGGTGAGGAAAAAAAGTCAAAATTATATTTGCTTGAGGAAGCCATTTGGCCTGGAAAACTTTGCTAAAGTTATAAACAACTTATCAGGAATATTTGCTGCTGCGTCTGGTGCACTGTTCCCAACTGCTGCTGTCAGCTCATGTGACTTTGGCTGAGATGGGACCAGTGCCACTCGTCAGCTGAATGCTTTGGGAAACAGCACTGGGGCTCTGCAGGAAAAAAAAATGTAAAGAATCAGAAAATGCAACAAAGAGGAGAAATTACTGCTTTCTATACAGATATAAATAAATTTGTTCCCTGACCTATTTTGAGCCCTGGGTAACTCTCACCCCTCGTGCCTGCGCACGCACAGTGTTTAGCTGTGTGTCTCACCCGCCAGCCTGCGGCTTTGGTCACAAGCCAGGAAATTGGGAAGAAATAAATAAATAAACCTTAGTTTCTAGCTTTTCTCTCTGACTTTTCCATTTGTTGCAAGGGATCCTGGAAAAGGGAGGCAGTGATGTCATGTGCTTACCTCCCTGCTGATGCAATGACTACAGAAATAATTGGGAGACCAAGCTGGGACCTTGTCCTGATTGTGGCTGGAGGGGCTGTGGGCACTGTCCCCCTGCACCCCCTTGGCTTCAAGCCTCCAGGGGGGGGCACCATATGTAAGGGGGGTTGATGGCTCCTATTTAACAGCATCAATGTGTGTAGTTGTAGGTGTGTAGAAGTAGCTGACACTAGGATGGTGTCGCGTGGGAGTACTGAAGCACGTGGAAGAGGTGTAAGATGGGCTGTGAACCACTGTCCGAGCTGCTCGGGGTTACTGGTTTGCTCTGCAGTCACACGTTCCCAGCAAAGGGGGTTAAGGCACTGATTTCTCTCCAGGATCACTGTAGGCCAGCCCTGCCCATGCAGCGGATGCTGAAGCAGGTGTGAATTGCACGTGCTTGCACAGCTCGGGGCTGATGAAAAGGAAAACACCCACCTTCCTTCTCCCGGCTGCACAGAGGCTTTACCAGGGCTGGGATCTTGTCCATACCCCTGTGTTAAACCATTTTCACTATTACACCTCCTCCCTCTGGAAATGGCCTTCTTGTTCTGCAGGTGAAAGATCAGAGTTATTTATAGGCAGTTCTGAGGTGAGAAATGGTACAGGAAAAGGTTGAAACAATCCCTAGAGAGCCAGAAATGGCAGCTGAGGTGACTGAGAAAACATTTTTGTTTTTCTTTTGCACGTGCAAGTGTTTGCACATGTGCTCAAAGGTGTCAGTTCTGTGGGAAGGTATCCCAGGGCATCCCTGCGGCAGCATCTTTCCAGGGGTGGACCCTGCCCTGTGGTCGAGACCTGGTGGAGGCATTGTGGGCTGCTCTTTGCTCTCCTGTTTTCTTCATGGGATACATTAGCTGTTTTTTTGCCTCAATTTCCCTGCAGCAGAGACAGTAATGTGTAGTTGGATTGGGTTGTGCATGTGCATTGGAGTTCAGGCACGTTGAAGCTGTCTTGAAAATATTCTGGCAGTAGAGCTTTCTGCAGCAAAATGGCCAGAGGTGTGAACATTTCAAGGAATTGAGTGATTTTACCATAAACATAACTGAGAATGCACTATGTCTTTCAAGAAGGTTGAAGTGCTGCTTCTCTATAATGAATTAGAGTAAAATGGAAATGGGCAAAACCAAGTCCTGTAAAAAGCACTTGCAGGAGAAGAAAAAAGGGAGGGAGGGGGTTGCCCAAGGAAAAAAAAAAAAACCAAACAAACCCAAATGTGCTGGCTTTAGTAATTCTTAAAAAGAGTTTTTCAGTAACTTCATTTTGTGGGGGATTGTAACTTTTCTGTTGTCACTGAGGATGAAAGAGCCACAAATTTGCAGAGCGGTAATACTGTGTTTCAGCTTGTACAGCCCTCTAGCATTAATAAAACACTGCGAGGGCTCTGTTCGGCTCCAGTTGAAGTCAATTGCTACGATTTTGGAGCCCCAAGGAGCAGCAATGCACGGCACCGATGAGCCTGGGCTGCGATGGAGAGGGTGTAGGTGGCACCGGGGATATCGAGAGGGCTCATCGCGTTGGTGAGCTCTCTACTCCAGCCGTGCGCCTGACGAGGCTGAAACCCAGCAAGTAACGGTGTCCTGGGCCCTGTCCTTGGTCCGTAGCCTGATGCCAGGAGCTGGGTGGGCAGCAGTTTGCTGCGTGGTGCAGGCGCAGCTGCAGGGATCCCTGCCCACGTGCAGGGGGGGCTACGGCAGAGCATCAGCATCACGTTGGGTGTGGCCGAGGGGGACACTGGGGACCTGCGGTTGGGAGGAGACGTAGGGTGTCTCTTGGGGGTGGGGTGGAATCGACCCCCCTGCATCTGTCAACAGATGTAGCAGCACCTACTTCGTCATTATAATATGCAACTGGGGGCCTAGAGCTAATTGCAGCTCTAAATGACTTTCATTATGCTGTGGTTGCTCCTTGCCTGCTGTACCGAAGCCAGATGCTCAGGTTATTAAGTAGACATAAGCCAGGTGCTGACTGCCTTATTTAAGCAAAATAGGAGTTGATTTCCTGCACGAGTGAGTGTGGCCATATATATGCCAGCACCCAAGAATGGGCCGAGAAGGCTGGGGAGAATGGTGGCCATTGTGCCTTGGGGACCCCTGGTGAGCCTTTTAGGATTGCTTTGGGACTTGGCTGATGGATTGACTGGATGCAAAGCTGCTGAGGGTTTTGGGGTGGCTACTGCTCTCCAGAGCTGTTCCCTCAGCATGTCACCAACGTGTTGCTATACCTTTAGAAAAGTGTCTGGATGAGACACCTGCCCTGCTGAAGGGCGCATGGATCTGACAGCATGGCACAAAGGTGACAAACCCTCAGCAGCACATTGCGCTGATTCTGGGAGGATGCTGTGGTCTGGTCCCTAGATCAGATTTGTGGGGTGTCTCTGTCTCTCTAGCTCGGTATTTTAACCTCACAAGTAGAGCTTTTTGCTGGAGGATTTGCCACTGAGAACCTTTCATCTCGGAGTGCTTTACCACGATCATGAGCGCAGCAGGTAGAAATTAGAGCTGGTTGTGAACAGAGCTAAGAGCTGCCCAGCTAACACCAAGGTGTTTCTGAAACAGCATTTCTCAACAATTTTGTGTCTATGTTCACCACTTGACTCATCTGTCATCATGCAGCCGCCTGTGCCACCAGCAGCTCCAGGTGGGAAAGCGTTCCTGCCGAGGGAGGGAGCGTTGCACCCTCTGCTAGTGCTCGTGTTTGAGCCCTGGAGGAACTGAGCTGCTGCCAGCAATTACAACTAGCAGTTCCTGGCTCGTGCCAAACACTGCCAGCAGTGCTCAACCTGTCCTCACCATCTCGTGCAGGCAGCGGGGAGACG